GCCGCCAGCGCTGCGGGGGGAGCGGGGCCGGTAGGGCCTTTGCGGCGGGGCCGAGGCGCTAACGCTGGACGTTACTGCGAGCCTCACGCTCTGGGCCGTGTCACCTCGTCTCCGGTAGTTAATCTGACGCACGTTCGCGTCTGTCTGAAGGCAGAAACGCCGTGCTAGTCAACTTACACAGGATGGCAAACCCGAACGTTTGTTTGCTTGCAGGTGACCGGCCTGCGTGCCGCTGGGTTCAAGAGAAAGCTTGAACATAGGCACGCTAAAGCACAAAAATCACACTGACAAACCCAAGCCTTTTTTCTCTTAAATTTGTGCCTTTAAAGCTAGTCTTGAGCAGGAAACAAGCGAATAGGTAAAGAATCAAAAGTCAGCCATAGAAAAATGATACTGAACGAACTGGGAAATGTGAGACTGAAGAAGCAACTCATTGCTTAAAAGAGATGATAAAGCAAAACCTCTCTATATTACTGAAGCAAAATAAGCAAACAAACAGCCTGCAAAGTCATGAGTTCATAAAATCAACTGTATATGCATTAGAAATAATGTCACCTGAAGGCAACTGATGCGAGTGGGACAGTGAGGGTACCGCTACACAGGTTCAAATTAAAGTAAGTGTGAAATACATCCACAGGATGGTGCAAACAACAAGATAAATGACAAGCACTGCCCTGAAAGACAGGGGTGAAAAGGGGCTGACATGGCAGACTACCAAGAAGATAACGCAGCACACCATTTTCCTCCAAGATACCTGTGTGACAAGGAATGGGAGCTTTCTTGCCAGTCAGCTCCAAACAAACCCTGCAGAAGAAGGACTTTGCCTCCAGCCAGGACTGGAAGGTAGTGCTGTCGGGGCATGGGGAAGCACAGCAGAACCAGGAGTGCTGAGGGGAAACTGAAGTACTTTGTTAATTCCCGAGGGAAGGTGAGCTGAGTACAAAGAAGTTGAAGCCAGTCCTGGTTTGGCTGCTGCTCAGATGTGCTGAAGGATGCTGGGCCAAGTCCCAGCAGTGCTGACTGTGTCTCTACTTCTGACAGCAATGTAAAAGCTAGCTGAGATATGCTGTCTCATAGGGCATCATCTCATCACTCCCATGAGTAGACTATCCACAACTTTTGAGTCCTGTCCCAACTATAAGGAGCATGAGTTTCTAAGGGTAATCGTCAGAGTTGTAACAAGTCATTTACGAAAAATCTTTTCCCCTTGGGGAGTGGCAACCTTGCTCCACAAGTTATAGAGCATTTGAGTAGCAACATAATCAAATTTCAGGGGCTAATGAGTTAACAGTTTTGGCAGCAGATATTTTTATTGCAACTGGCTGTCCTTGCACAAACCACTTTAAGGAGAATATACTGGTGGAAAGCCATAAAGGTTATTTACATAGATGGAGTTTCATCATCTACCACTCCAAAACAGGCTGGGTTGGTTATGCTGATCTAATGTTTTCTTTATCATGGTTTGTGTGAGGCTAGGAACACATGTTAGATTGTGTTTTAGTTTGCTCTTATAGTATGTTGATGGTAGTCCTTTGAGATACCAGTTTAAATTATGCAGCATGTACAGTATTATAAAAACAGTTTCAGAAATGTAATATTCAAACAAAACCAAAATATTGCTTGTACCATGAGCTTTGTTACGCCCCAACTTAGCAATAACAATTTTCTGCAGGAAATAGCCCCCAACCTTCTTAAGAATATACCTTGCAAAATATTCTGAGAAGATCTTCAGTTTTCCCTTCCAACAAGTGGAAGAGAACAACTTTCAGGTTTGCTCCCAGGAGCTAATTTTTCCCTCTCTTTGAGAGCCATTCTCAGTCCCGTCCTGGTATGAAAAAGGTGGTTTGGCATTAGGTTAGTTCAGTAGTTTGAATTCACGGTTCTGTTCAGGATAGAAACTAAGGTACTTTTAAAAAAGTTAGCCTAAGTCTCAAAGAATGTCTACAAGAGCTTTTCAATTTTGTTTGGCAAACAATTTCAAATTCAAAGTTGCATCATTTTCTGCCATTAAAACAGACCAACTCTTGCAACATGGCCTGCATCTGAACTGAAATCAAGTATACATCTTTTACTGATATGACATAGCCTCTGCTTAAAGAAAGATCGGATTTAATCTTAAAGACAACCTCATCAAAACAGCTGATACATGATCTGCGTAGAATTATTCTTTTACAGAATTGCTTGCACTAGCTGGCATTCTTTTCTTCAAATGAAAGACAAACATTTGGGTTTGGTAGTTACTGACTACTTTCAAGTTACTTTTATTTCCATTAAAAATAGGCAGACGTTCCCTATTAAAGTTCAAAGAATTCCTGTCTGAGTCTAAAGAGAAACTTATGGTGATTTTTGTTACCAGACCCTGTACATTTTCCTACCCTGGCATTCTAGAAAAGGATGACCTGTTTGGCGTTATGACACTGTTTTGAAAATACAGCCAAAGAATTTCTCTCCTTGCAGCTTAAGAAATTAAGCCCCTGTCATGCAAACCTGGTACCAAACAATAATTTCCACCTGGGGCAGGTTTTAAACAAAGATACCTTACAAAGTGTTTTCCACAGCTGCCACTGTCAGTATTGTAACCCAGGGTGAGGAACAAGCACAGCCTGAACTTAAAACCGGAGTTTCCCAATTCTGCTGATGCCTGCTTGGATATAGGGCATCTGCAGCTTGAGGTCACCTGGCCTCTTCCCTTTCACTACCTGCAAACAGCGATTATCCTGTTCATACACAGATCGCAAAGCCTCAGCTTGCCTCTCAGCCTGCAGAACGCCTGTGGAAATAGCATCACTGTAATCATCCGGAGTATCGACAAGCTTGAACTTACATATATCTTCCTGCCAGACCGGCAAAGCCCGGGCACTGCAGACGGCGAGGCGGGCAGGCGAGGGCAGGCCGCGGGGCGGGCAGGCGAGGGCAGGGCGCCTTCCCGTGGCAGTCGAGGTCCTGCTGCCGCCGAGGGGACAGGCCCTGACGGCTCTGGGTGCGTGCGATTCAGAAGTCTCAGTAAAGACCCCCTCGTAGCCCACCCCCATCGCACTGCCCCGCCGCCGCCCGAGAGCAAACCTCCCCCCGCCCCGCCAGCCAGGCAGCTCGGCCCGGCCCCGCCCCCTCCCACCGCCCCGTCAAGACTACACTTCCCGTCGAGCCTTTCGCCGCAGCAACGGCCGCCCTCCCAGAAGGCCGCGCGGCGCCGCCGCCGCGCACTCCCATTGGTCGGATTCGAAAAGAAGCCGCGGCCGTGCCGGTTGCGCCGTACCGGTGAGCGGCGGCGGTTCTCCGGCCGGTGAGCGGAGCGGAGAGGAGAGCGGGGCTGCCTTCACCCGGCGGGGGTCGGCGGCTGGGCCAGGCCCGCCCCGCCCGGCGTGGCGTAGGCTCTCGGGTAAGCCCGTGCGGGTTGCGGGGCTGTCGCTTGAGCAGGGAAGGAGGCGGCGGCGGCTGCGGGCTGAGGGGTCGCGGAGATGGGAAGCAGCGTGGGCGGCCTTCGTGGCGGGCGGTGCTTCGTGGGGTCTCTTCCCCGCGCTTCTCCCTGCCGCGAGCGTGGTTACCAGCCTTACGGTGCGCGAAAACTTTTCGTCGCCGCCGTGGGGCGCGCAAGCCGCGGGTAGCGCCCGGCCCAGGGCCGCGGTGCTGCCGGAGCCACGCGGCAGCGTCCCGAGAGCGGGAAAACAGTGCGACGCCTGGAAGGGAGAGGTTGATGTTTGCAGGGGGAAACTTTCCTCTTAATCTTTCTTAAGTGTAAGGGCTGATGCTTCACGGTTGATGTCAGCTGCCAGGCTTGTCGCGCGGCTTGAGCCGTTTCTACCCTTCCTTGCGCGGGCTGTGACCACCGTTGGCTGTGTGTGCCGCTCTCGTTCCCCTTCGCTTGGGGTGTCTGCGGCTCTACGCTCTTGTCACGGTAAGCAGTTACAATAACGTATCCCAGTATACAAGTACCTTTTAGTGGCTACAGCCAGGAAACGTACCTGTTTACACCAGAATAGCTAAGGCAATTACAGTGCTGTGTGACACCACGTGGAGACAGAGGGATAGTCCCCATCTTGGGTTTTGCATGCTGTCAGTGGCTGAACCTTTCTGGTCTGCGTGCTGGGCTCGTACAAACAACTTTAATTCCAGCTTTGCACACATAGCTCGATGTTTGTCTTTCTCCCCTTATGTAAAAAGGCACAGAACGGGAGCATAATCTTGACAAATCACACTTTAAAATCAGCTTAGATTTAAAGCAGCTAAAATGCCAGTTATCTAAAAATTATGTTTCCTGTCAAGGCCTGATAAGGGTTTTGCAGTGTGACTTTGTGTAGCTGATGAATAAGACTTCTAGATTGTGACAGCACAGGTGTGTTTCTTTCCTGTAGTGGCTTATTCACAGATCAGTGTTTGTTCAGGCTGTGGTAATATTTCATGCCAAGTTTTTCCTGGTTTTCATGCAGTTACCTGACAAAAACTGTAGATTAGAAAAAACAAAGTAAACATTGCTGCTTACTTTATGTACAGCATTTGCAGCTTGGTGACGTTTGTCTAGATTCATGAAGTCCTGTATCTGCCTTTTACAGGCTAGATAGGAAGACTGAGCTGTTAAGTGCTTTGGCACTGTCGTGTCAGACATGGTTTTTAGCAAGGTTGTGGTATACATGTAAGGCTTTTCCCTGGTAAACAGTTGCTGTTCGTTGAAAGAGGAACAGCTGTTCTTGTTTCATCATGATGTGAACCCCCCTGCAGACCCTCTCCCCAGCTATCAGAAACTTGCTATGTCAATTATGAATAGGGTGAAGAAAGCTTTCTCATTAAAGAAATTGCAGCTATCAATCTCAAATTGACTTGTCTTCTAAGGCACTTCAGAAGCTCTACTTTATGTGATCAGAGAGGAAAAAAAATAGTTTTATTTTATGTTGCAGGATGGAACCGACTTTGGATAATGATAAATTTTTCAGACCATCCTATATTGCTAGTGTTGAGCCGCCTCAAAGAACAGGACCAGTAAATGTGGATGATATTAAAGCAGATCTCTCTGCTGAATTTTCTTCGGTTTCTTCAAGCTCGGACACAAGCCAGGTAAGAAAGTAATATTTGTATTGTTTGGGTATTTTTTTTTTAATAAGCTTAGTCTTTTCATCCATAAGAATAATCAGAATTTTACAGATAAGATGAGAAGCATCTTTAGGATGTTTTTAATTTGGAGGAGATGCATAGAATTAGATTAATTTGTGTGGCACTGCATTGATACCTTACTGGGTGCATCAGTCTTCTGTGAATGAGGCTAATTGCCTGTTCAGAGCAGCTTAAACACTGAATATTTTTATGGGTTTCATTCTTGATCTCTAGTTGGCCTGAATGTAGTGCCTGTATGTGTTGCAAGACTATTAACTCTAAGTTATCACAGCAAACTTCTGCAGGGGCCTAAGCACTTGTAAAAGCTGATGTAATGAATTACTTTTGCTTCTCACGTCATCAAATAAATCTGTTCAAAATAGCCTGATGAAAAGAAAACTGCCTTAACATGCTAGTTATCAAACACAGAATCTAGTCAAATTTCTAACTTAATTTGTTGGGGTTTTTTTGTTTTGTTTTTTTAATTTAGAGGAACAGTTTGGAGTCTAAGGGACACATACAAGTTTGCCTGCGTATTAGGCCATTGTCATCGCTGGAAAGAGAAAATGAATTGCAGGTGTGACATTTATTTACTTAAAAAATACCTTAAACGTATGTGTATTTTTTTTCCTGTAAGCTGAGCTCTCTATACTCTCTTCATGCCTGTGTTGATTGTGCTTCCTTTGATAGGACTGTATTTTACTTGAAGACTCAACAAGCATCATACTGAAGCCCCCCAAAAACTCTTTGAGTCGGCTAAGTGAAAAAACTGCTGGACAGATGATACAGAAGTTCACTTTTTCACGAGTAAATGAATTGTCTTTAAAAGTCTTTAATTTATTTCTGGAAAAAGTTGTTTAACGTATGTTATTTAATACCAAGCAAACTAGATTTTTAAACTGTCGATAGCCTTTATAAACATAGGGAATTTAAAAGATTCTTTAAAAGTCTCTAATGATTGCTTAAACAAAATGAAGATGTTTCTTGGTAATGCTCAGGTGTTTGGACCTGAAACAACTCAAGAAGAATTCTTTGAAGGTACCATGAAGCAACCAGTGCAAGACTTCTTAGATGGATATAATCGTCTTATTTTTACATATGGCGTTACAAATGCTGGGAAAACCTACACATTCCAAGGTATAAGTAGAAATGTGTTCTCCTTGAATGAACTTCCCTTTTTTTAAGTGAGGATTACTTCTAGCAGAAATATTATAACTTTTTCCTTTATTTAAACTGTAGGCCCTATACATTTGCTTCTCTTGAATATTTATAAATAGCCTTTGAAAGTCTCCTTCCATAACAAATACCACTAAACTACCAACAGACAGAGTCACTGCAAGAGTTTACATGAACACATAGTCATACTGCTTTGTAGGGCTGTAAAGTTCAACCAAGTGTGTGTGACTTGTCTTTTTTCCTGCAAGTATCTAGAGGGACCCCCCCCTCAGGGAGGAGGGGGAGGTAGGAAAATGTATCTTTTATATATCAGGATGTGAAAGTGTGTAAGTCACTCTACACCAGACTAGCATTTTGTTACTTTTTTTAATTATTATAAGTCATAGGCATCTTATATGGACTGTCTTAAAATAAGAAATAATATTTGAGTCTGTTTCAATTATTATAGGCAGAGAATAAATGTTTTGAAACATGTTTGATTACTTCCAAGTATTTTTGTCTTGTCTCAAGTTTCTGAGCTTAATAATATCCTGGGAGACCTTGTCTCCTGATGCACTATTCTGTACTGTTAAAGCTCAATATACTTTCTGGTCAGAAGATGTCATTCTTTAATTATTTTTAAAGCATTTTAACAAATGAGGTGATTTGATTCACATGGAAGGAATTTCTCCTGTAATGAAATGGCAGTTCTAGGTGCTATACTGCTGATTTTATACACAGAAGTAGTAGAAAGACAATGAGTTTTGTGCCATGTGAAATTGATCTTTATTGAAGTGATGTTGTCTTCTAAGTGATCTTCTGTTAAGTGGATTATAGCTAAAGACTACTGCCAGTACTTCCAGTTATCATTAATCTGGGGCAATAATGGGATGCTCTTCCCTGTCATAATAATTAATAGGTAAATAACAAAACCTAAGTTTCCTAAAGCATACAGCCCCTCATGCTTGACTAGTTTGGGGTGTATTGTGTGAGAATTTTTGATTCATATCTTCTCAGACTCTGGAGACTTTTTCATGGTATTATATTTTTAGCACTTAACTATCGACTTGTGATAAGAATTGGCAGGGCAGAATGTTGCTGCTGGGTGCCATGATTTTCTCTTCTGTTATTCCCAGTGTTGTCAATATAGCCTTTCCACTTTGGCATTACATGGGAGCCCGTATTCAGTCAATGATGAAGGACTGAAGTGAAGGATGAAGCAGGTTTTTTTGGACTGTTCATTGTTCACCAGCAACTGTGAACTTTGTTCATGTTAAGTTGAATTACAAGTGGCATTACAATAAACAAAAAATAATTAGAGAAAAGAGGAGATGAGGATGAAGAAATGTAATGCTACAGTACTTTAACTTAATATGTTATTTGGTTACTAGCTTGGTGTTTGAGTGCCAACCAGATTTTGCACAAGTTCTGACTTGGGCTTTTATCAGTTATAGCACTAGCTGTGTTGCCTATCTGTCTCAAGAGTAGGAGAAATCAGTCTGGAAGAAGATGCTGTCAGTCTGATACAGGACAGTAGTTTCTCTTCCTCTCTCCCCTTCTTTTCTCTGATTTAGAAATTAAAGTCAAGTGAACCCTTTTCAAACTTGCATCTGGATTCAGAAAGATCAAGTGTGCACTGAGGTTTTTATTTGACTATTTTGCCTTTCAGGTGCAAAAGTAGTATGCTCTGAGAAAAGGGTATGGGACAGGGGAAGGAGTAAGCCTTCACAAGTCTTCTAGAACTTTTTATGTAGGGTATGTGAAATTAGTACAGGACTGCAGCTGAGAGATCAGTTATCAGTGCTACTTTAGGATTA